AGCCTCTGAGCCTCGTAGATAATATCGTCCCAATCAGTATCACCTTCATGGGCTTCGGACATAGTCACTATCTTGGGAAGATTGATTGGCTGTCCATTCCACCATTGAGAATCGTGGCCGTAGTTGGGAAGAGCGCGATTGCGCAGCAGAAGGGCCTCCCTTGCGAGGGGAATCGAGTGAAGTATCGTCACCAATCCACCCAGATGCGTGCTCTCCTGAGACGGGCGAATGAAAGCCGGTTCATCTTCTCGTCTTTTACGATCAGTGGGGTCAGGACTGATGATAATCTCGTGAGCGCTGGAGTTGAATAGCGTCATTGCCCATGCGCCTTCGTCGTAATGATCACGGGTCGCTCGGCTGAAGCTTGTATTTCCTGCCCTTGTGACACCTGTCTCCTGCTGCCCGAGGTTCTGACTCAAAGACATGGCGACTGCTTGTTGGAGCTCACGTTCTTCCTGCTCGGCCAGAGTTAAACCTTTGCCATTGTCGGCTAACGAGCCAAGTCAGCTCGACGCGCAAGTAGCAGCTTATGCTTTTTCCAATCAAGAAACTCTCACCGGTGTTGTTCTGTGTTGACGCAGGATCACTGGATGATCTGAGGTTTAGAGTAGAGGGTGGTCGGGATGGAGGAGGACGGGATGGAGGCCCAGCAGAAGGGCTATACGGTGAGTCGACATGCTCGATCTGGAAGGCTTGAAAGACAGGAACATCAGTACATACGAGTCCAACCTCAGAAAGAGAGAGGCACATACCAGACATATCGGGCTCATTTTGATACTGATTTGTCTATATCGTATTGAGTTCTGCAGTCAGTTCGTGTTTCTCAGTGTCCAGGCGCAAGTCCGGTTTATCACCTGCGTCAGAGGGCCGGTCGGGTCTTCGAAATAGGCGTTGATCGCTTGATTTGAGTTGAGGTTATTAGCCTGTACAGAGACTTCGATTAGCTATGACAGTGCCGCCAGAGAGTCCGGATACAAACTTTCAAGAAGCTTATAGCTTGTTCGCGCGACGAGCTGGTAAAGTTCACGAAGTTCGCGATCTCCTCCTCTCTCGGTTCGGCCGCCATGCCGGGGTCGGGCTCCCTGCCTGCTGACGACGGTGTAAATCCAGGTATAAGACTGTTAGGTAAGTTGAAGTTTAATGCCCTAAAGGCAATGGATCAGGATTGAGGCCTAGCTTGAGCCGGGCGGAAGAGGTGTAAGGCTTGTTTGTGGTGGAACGAGCGGCCGTTCCAGACAGAGGGGAGGGGAGATCATTCAGGCGTCCCTCGGAGCTTCCCCCACTGAAGTTACCTCGCCGTACTGTATGTACACTTGACAGCAACGGCGCAGCGCCTTGGCAAGCTTCGGGCTGGCTCATTCCACCGTATGTTTTTGGCATCTACACCATACATGATTGATGGCGTAGTTACTTTGTTCTGTAGGTGATAACATGAATTTGAATTGCTTGTCTGCTCATCAGCTGGTGTTGTGTTTGATGAAGTTGTCAAGAAAAGGCGATTTGGAGATATATTTCTGGATCAATGCTATGTTCGTCTGATCTAATATTACGGGTATAGTGAAGTGGCTGAAGTGGTGCGAGTCTCACACCTGGAGTCAAGTAGAATGATCATTTTTTCCAGGTCAAGTCGCACGTAGAAGATACCTTGCTTCTCCATGTGTTGAACGGATTGATTGGGTGGCATCCATGGACATACATGAATAGTAGGTAGATAAGAATGGCGGAAGATTCACTCTATGGAGAAACTTGTCTTGCGGAAATATACCATACCGAACCTATTTGTTCAAACTGCATTGTTACCGACCGAATACCTACCTTAACGTATCTCCAGTAATCATCTTTCATCTCATTACCCCTCCCCTCTCTGACTTGTCTCATACTCTAGACTGAGGACGGTCACATTCTTGCTGATCACCGTTTGACTTGACCCCAACATCAATAGCTATCACTCATGCCAACTGCCCACCACGGTGACGCAGGGATTATCCCAAGAAAGCTTTGAGTCTGGCTCTTCCGCCCCCCTCCTTCCGCCCCGCTGAGGATGAGCCAACTGGTGAACAGCTCCTCCATACCCTCGCTGCTATTCTTAACCTCTTGTCGCCCGCCCAACCAACACATCCCAACTCCACTCGAGCCAACTTGAAATTGTGGGGGAGTCCAAACCCGTCGACCTTCGCCATCCTATCAGTCCTTATTGGCTTCTGCAAAACTTACCCAAGAAGAACCCGTTCCCCTTCGTAACAGAAATTCGGAAATCTCCCCTCTTTCGCTCTCTCCGCTCCAAAATCCATCACGTCACGTTGTCCTTCGATCCCACCTCCCCCGAACTCGCCGAACCGACGTCGGCTCTGATCTCCCACATCCAACCCACCCTCCCCCCCCCAAAGGGTCACAATGGCTGCCGCCTTTGACGACGAAGACCTCTCCGTTTCCCTTCCTCCTTTCGAAGCCGATCGCCCTCGTGACCGTCGTCCCAGTGCATCCAATCCTCCTCCCCCCAATTCCAACTTCCCTGCCATGGCGATGCCTCCGCCATCCCGCCCGATCGGCAAAGGCGGCGACGCTGCGATGCAGTCTCCGGCCACCACCAGAGACATGCAGCGCCTTGATCAGTATCAAACGGTGAAGATACTGGGAGAGGGCTCATTCGGCAAGGTGAAGCTAGCAATTCACCAGCCGAGTGGTCGGCAGGTCGCCCTCAAAATCATTTCCCGTCGCAAATTGTTGTCTCGAGACATGGTCGGTCGTGTCGAACGTGAGATCCAATATTTGCAATTGTTACGACACCCTCACATTATTAAGCTGTAAGGAGCTCCGCACATCTCCCCAGGATTGAGGCAATCGCGATGAGAAGCTAATGGAAATCTCGCCTCGAAAGATATACCGTCATTGCTACCAAGACCGATATTGTTATGGTCTTGGAGTATGCCGAGCGAGAACTGTTCGATTATTTGGTGAAGCGGGGTCGGTGCAACGACGCCGAAGCTCGCAAGTTTTTCCAACAGATCATATGTGCAGTAGAGTACTGTCATCGTCATAAGATCGTCCACCGTGATCTGAAGCCGGAGAACCTGCTCATTGACCGGGAGAAGAACGTCAAGATTGCTGATTTCGGCCTGAGCAACATTATGACAGATGGGAACTTCCTCAAGACTAGCTGTGGTAGCCCTAACTATGCAGCCCCCGAGGTTATCTCGGGAAAGCTCTACGCAGGACCAGAGGTCGATGTATGGAGCTGCGGCGTCATTCTTTATGTGCTATTAGTGGGACGGCTTCCTTTCGACGACGACTATATCCCAGCTCTTTTCAAGAAAATAGCAGCAGGAAACTTTCATATGCCTGCATACATATCCTCCGGAGCTGCTCGGTTGATCCGGTCGATGTTGCAAGTTCATCCGGTTCATCGGATAACCATTCCAGAAATTCGCCAGGATCCTTGGTTTCTACAAGAACTACCGAAGTATCTGCAGCCCCCTCCGGAGGAATTCATCGCTACCGGTGTGGACCCAAATAAGGCCATTGATCCACGCAAACTTGCGCCGGGAAAACCCCTGTCCGTGCAGCACAAGATCCATCAGGTCGCCATTTCAAAACTGGAGCGGAGCATGGGATATACGCGCGAGGACATTGAAGACGCTTTAAAGAACCCTGAACCTAGCGCCATCAAAGATGCTTTTTTCATCATCATGGAGAACGAGATGATGCAGACGAACTGTAAGTTAGGTCAATCTTGCTTCGCCACGACCAATTGACTAGTACGCTGACTTTCACCCACAGCGCCAACAGACGACAACCTGATGGGTCCTCCCGTCGCCCCTTCACCACCCCCCGATCGAGTCCCTCAGTCTTCAGCCACGGCTGGCCGATCGACTGTTCCGCTGAGCCCAGGATCCCCGTTAACCGCCCCTACGAGACCGCGAAGTGGTTCACAGCGTCAACCGTCCCAACTGTCTCAGCAGAGTAATGCCGATGATCCCGATGCGCCGCGAGTTAGCCATGTTCGAATTCTGCCGACCAGTGTGCCGTTTGTACATGACCAACTCATGGAACAGCGGGAACGTGAGCAGAGAGAACGAGCTGCGGAGCGTTCATCTGAGGAACAGGCGCATGGTGGTCTAGATGCCGAGGATGACTTGAATCGGAATGGTCAAGCGGGGCGCTCGCAGGAGGAGCAGGAGGCGACTGCAAGGGCCTTGAAACCCCATTCCCGCAGCATCGTGGACCTTGAAAAACTGCGCCTCCAGCCCCCCGAAGGTCGCAGTGCCCCGCACCAGCCCAAACGGTCGCGAAAGTGGCAATTTGGCATTCGCTCTCGTAACCAACCTTATGAAGCAATGCTCTATCTATACAAAGCCATCTCAGCCCAGGGAGGAATCTGGGAAATAGCACCTACTGGAGCAGGTAAGTTTAGGAGTGTTTGTTATGAGCCTCAGAGCTAACAGGCAGCTTCTCAGATGCCTTGCAAATAGGCGAACAGCCCCCGGACCAGCCTATGCCTCTTCAAAGCAAGTACCCAGACCTACCGTCAGATTACTACATCCCAAAGGACCCCTGGTTCATTAGAGCGCGTCTCCTGAAGGAGGGAGTCAAGGCGCCCGGGCAGACTGCCAGTGTGCATAGCAGCCGAAGCGACCTGAACCTGGAAGACCTGCGGCGCCGGTTTAACTTCTCCACCGGACCATTCTCGGCTGATGACAAGGGCCTCACCCCAGAGCACGCGAGTATCTCGAATCCTTCTTCGGCGACCCAGGCTCACACAATCTCGCGGATCTCGTACGGAGTTTGGGTGTTCGTTGACATCCAGCTGTACCAGCTGGAAGAAAACAACTACATGGTCGACTTTAAGTGTGATGGATACCAAAATGTGATACGTGGTGGAGGTGACAGCGAATGGCACCCTATCAGTAAACGGTTCCGGAACAAGGAGAAAGAAGTGACGAGCCCTTACCCCTTCCTTGACGTGGCCTCGGATTTGGTGGCTCAGCTGGCGACTGCTAGTTAATTAATGCAGCAGCTAGGATTTCGAAGGCGTTAAATGGGCTTTCTGGAGCATTCCATGGGTGGCTTTTGGCGTTATTTTCACTGTGTATATTCAGCTTGACGCTGAAAGCTTCTTTTGCATGAAACCTACATGATCTACGAGCGTTGCATGGGAATCGTTGTTGTTTTTCTTCATATATCCTCTTGCCCCGCGTGCGGATACCGCAACAAGTTGATACTTAACAACCCAGGACTGCGGCGGCTCTCAGAAGGCAGTGCGAAGCAGGGGAACTTGATGAATCGCGACGGATCTGGGCTATTTCGGCACGGCATGGGTAGGCTAGGTGGCAGCTGCCTCTACCTGACTGATGTTTCCACACTCACCCTCCTCTCGCCACATCCATGACCAAAACAACTACCCCAAAATGATTAAGCGACAGAGGGAGTCACCTGGCGAGTGACTGCGTGCAGCAAGAGAGGAACCAAGCTGGAAGAACCACCAACGTTTGGCCAAGGCAGTTCAGCGGAGACGCGAGGATTCCCACAGAAACCCAGGCCAACCGGCCAACGTGGAGACAGAGGCGTTAGGCTTTCACTCAAGCAGGTAGAACACCAAGGAATCAAGGCCAACGGGGGATTTCATGTATATAGAAACACCGCAGTCACCCTGGTTGGCCGTCTGCGACGCGGGAAGAGCCTCGCGAAGACGACTTCATTCGGGAACAAGGCTTAATCAATCAATTTATGGAGCAGAGAATCCCGAAGCACCCGCCCTCAAAGCTGCCATCGGAAAACTCAGGGCTCTTGCAGGGAGTATCAAGATGAAAACTGCTTCATCACGAAGCTAATTAGCCGTTGGGAAGCTACTTAGCCTAGGAAACAAGCTGGTTGGCCGCATGGTACGTATATGGAGCGAGGCCGTGTCATCAGTTGCTTGCTGGTCATAGTGACTGCGACCACGCGGCCCATATGGATGCCAGAAGCGAGAATGAATCCATCATCATCATCATTGATCTATTTATGGAGTAAAAATTGACAAGTGTAAAGCAACAAGGGAGGAGCAAATAGAGTCCGGTAGGCGTCGGGACGAGGTCTCCACCTCCACCAGGCTTATTTATTTGCCTCCGCACCTGCTCTTGCCTTCTACTTTCCTTCACCTCCACACTCCCAGCAATGAAGACCACTTAGGGATCTCTAATCATTTATCCTCCCAATGGATCGTGAAAAGAGATTCAAGTGTCGCAAATGCAATAGAGCATATACAAAGCTTGAACATTTGACGGTAATCATACCTCCTCGTTCTAAACAACCAATTTTGACAATCTATAGAGACATGAGAGAACCCGCAAGTGCAGTGTGCCCTCGGCGATGAAATCGATGCTAACGGGATTCTAGACTCCAACACCAGACCCTTTCAGTGCGAAGAGTGTGGAAGAAGCTTTGGGCGAGGTGACGTCCTTGGACGACACAAGAGACTTCATTCTCGTTCACGAGACAAAGCTAGCCAGCCAAAAGACAACCAAGGCGATGAAGCTTTCCAGACATGCTTCGATGCCTCAACACAGGACGTTCTCACCATACCACCGTTCGAAGCCCCCTTCTCAGAAGATCAACACACTACACTGGACTCCAATACATTAGACTGGTTCATTCCTGACTTCTGGGGTTCCTCGTCCCTCCCTGTACTCGAGACTTTAGACCCAATGCAGTTACAATCACTCCATGGAACAGCACTTTTGCCTCTCGACGAATCAATAGCCGGGCATGAAACTGGGGCTGGTAAAGCAGCCATGCAACAAAGCTATCGACTGATCGAGGATCTCTCCAAGCGGCTGAATGCCGAATTGCACAACTCGGGCATCACATCCAGCTTCCTAGACGGCTGCCTCCAGGAATTCTTCGATCACATCTCTCCCTGTTTCCCAGTCATTCACAGGCCTACCTTCGTACCCCGTGAGACCATTCCTCCGCTTCTTCTCAACATGGTAGCCCTGGGCTCTCTGTTCGTATGCCTACCTGACTCAGCACGCAAGGGCGAAATGCTATGGCGTCTCGGCCACTCCGCCGTGGCTACCTCCTGGCAAACGCTCATCATCCATCGGGGACCGCGCGACGCATGCGACGGGGTGCAACTCGTTCTTACCGCGCTGTTGGGTCAACTGTTTGCTCTGCTCTCGAGCAATGAAAGCATTCGAACCACCGCTTTTGTCTGGCACGGGCTCGGCTTTTACTGGGCTCGTATGTGCGGGATGTACGCCGTCGCCGAGCTCCAAACCCCGCCTACGGTGCCTTGCCCTCCGCAAGAACTACAAGCGCACTGGCACCGCTGGACGACTGTGGAATCCCAGAAACGGGCCATCCTAGGCCATTACATTCTGGACGGATTGATCTCTCAGACATCCGGCGCCCCAGCCTCCGCCCGCCACCTCATCAACTCTTCGCGCACGGCCGGCTCCGATGTCGTCTTCCAAGCCAAGACAGCAAGCGACTGGCTCGACCGGCTACAGCAACCGGCGTCATCCCTCCATGATATGCCTTTTAGCGAGGTCTACTTCTCAATCTTTGCCTCGACGTACCCATCTCATCCTCTCAATCTATCCGACTTTTCGATCCATGTAATCCTCGAAGGCTTTCAGAGCTTAGTGTCTGATCTCCATGAAATCGGGAAAGGCAAGCCGGCAATTGGGGCGATTACCGAGCGCCAGATCCTTCAAGCGCTCTTGAACATTTACGAGGTTCATCTCCGTCACCGTTCGGGGTTGTTGTCCTCCCCATCCAACCCATCGTCATCCTGCCTCCCGCCACATAAACCAGGGGACTCATTTCAACTCCTCATCAGGTGGCATACCGTCTGTCTTGAACTTGCACTACCCACGGCTAGATTCTATGGATCCCTCTGCCAGAGATACCCTCACCTTCCTCGTACGATAGGAGACCACCAGTCCAAAGCCGCAGCTAGCACCAGTACCAACTTCACAGTCCGAGGAACAGCAAACCCGTTGACAGATCCACCACCCTCAGCCCACCAAAACCACCACCAGCAACAGCCACCACCTTTAGTCCCCATCACCGAAACTTCCCCACCGCTCCGCGCCCTCCTCAACGCCCTAACCATAACCCGCCTCCTCAATCGCCTTCCCTTCCACCAAGCCCATAGCCCGCACATCCCCGCCGCCATCTTCGCCACCGCAGTAACGATAGCCGGATGGTGTCTTTCCCGCAAAAAGAAGAAGATATTCCTCGCCGCAGACGAGCAAGATGTCCTGGATGGGTGGAACTGGGCTGAGGTTCTGGGGGTTCGTCCATCTGGGCCAGCGGAAGGTGACGGTGATGGACGTGGGAGTGACTGCACGGAAAGACCCGCAGCAGTAGAGGAGGAGATGGAGCATCGTTTCCTTGATGATGCTGACGGCTCAGGCATAGCGGTGCATCTGCTTCAGGAATTGAACTTCTTGGTAATCTGTTTGGAGACGGTCGTGGCGCGATGGCAGATCAGCGGGGTAATGGCGGAGATGGTGAGGGGATTGATGGGGCTGTGCTCTTTTTAGGGGCTTATAGCTACGGTAATGGCTATACTACGTTTATGAGATGTTGGCAGAGCTGAAAAACTCAGCATTGTTCGTGCAGTGAATGTGAAATTGTATGAAACCCCCAAATTTCAACAGCATTCATCAATCCACATGCCGTCCTAGCAAAGATCATACAGCACTAGCAATCACAGCTACCATTTCACTTTCGCTTTAAAGACTCCAAAAAAAGAGATCCCATTTACCCATGATAATTCACCCATCTAGACTATGCAGAACCGGACCGAACCCGATCGAATCAAAAATACCTCCCCGTGCGCTTCCTCACCCAGGGCCCCGCGAAATACAACGGCAACCCCAGCGCCAGCACGGCCCACTCAATCCCCGCAAACTCGTAGAACATCCGCGCCAACCCCTGGCGCGTCATCCAGTCGACGGAGCCCTTACTCAGCCCGAACGCGACGACGTTCTTGCTCACGTTGACCAGCACGAGAGCCTCGCCGCTGGCGTGCGGGTACGAGTCGACCACGTACGACAGCATGACCGAGGGGACGAGCGTGAGGCCCGCGGCGGCCATGGCGGAGCCCAGTGCCGGCAGCGCGTAGTGCATCTGGTGGGCGGCCGTGTACCCGAAGACGACGAGGCCGACGGGCGCGATGCAGAAGGGCACGACCAGCGCCGGCAGCCGGTGCTCGGGCTTGTGGACGTTGCGGTTCCGGCGGCGCAGGAATTGCGACAGGGCGTCGGTGAGCGGGCCGGCGAGTGGCGCGACGACTACGATCCCGATGAAGCTGCCCAGTGTCCAGAGGCCTAGGGCGCCTGAGGTGAAGAGGTAGGGCGGGGCGCTGAAGATTGAGGAGGAGAGGGTGGAGATTGAGACCACTCTTTTCTTGAGGTTAGTGGGTGGGTGGAGAGGATGTGAAGAAAGGGAAGGGAAAGGGAAACTCACGCCCCGAGTACAACTCCATACATCATCGATGCCAGCAATACCCCCGGTAGCAGCAGCATCGGAATCGGGAGCCAGGCTGCGTACCCCAGGAATCGGAGCACGCCTTTCTTCTTCGCCTCGCTTGAGATGCCCACCTGGAAGAGACCCTTCCAGTAGTCCGTGTAGGAGAAGTGTTGAGCTTGGTTCTGAGAAGGCGGGAGACTCTCGATGTGGCTGTGGGCGACATCGCTCTTTTCGGGAAACTCACCCCCGTCCTGCTCCTCTTCGAACTCGGGCTCGTACGTTGTCTCCGGAAGGAAGAAGAAGGTCGTGACCAGGTTGACGGCCGCCACGATCAGGCACACGATGAAGAACCACCGCCAGCCGCGTGCGGCAACCAGGTAGCCCGCAATCACGGGTCCGACCTGGGATCCGGCGGAGAGGAACAGGGCGTACATGGCCATTGCGCTTGAGTAGTTGCGCTCGTAGAACATGTCTGTTCTGGTCAGCAATCTGGTGATACAAGCTGCGAAGCTGAGACAGAGAGAGCATACCGGCTAGAATACTGGGACCCAACGATTCAATCGAACCATAGCCTTTGACCGATGTTAGTGTCTGTGTGGAGAGAATGAGCACCGCCCTGCATGTTATGCAACCCACCAAAACTGGCAAACACCCTAGCGCCCATCAGACTGTTGTAATCCTTCGCCACGACTGTCCAGATGATCCCCGCCACGAACATCGTCATGGAGATAAGGACTATGGGCCGCTTGCCAAACGCCAACGCCAATGGCATCCAGAAGAGATTGGCGAGGCCCATGCTGAGGACGGACCATGAGATAAGGTCGGCGAGCTTTTGGTAGCTGACTTGCAAATCCATGGCCAGTGACTCGAAACCCGTTGCTATGCCGGACTTTCTCGATGTCAGAATCTCCCCTCAGTGATGCGACAGATGAGAACAATGAATGTCTTACTGAGTACATGTTCCCCATAAACACAAAAATATTGACCGTCAAGAGGGCTGCATATCGGACCCGACGGGGGTAAAGCTACGAGAAGAGGAGCATGTCAGTGTCAATCGCCCTGTCACCTCGCCAAGCCCCATCCAGGGCACCAACCTTCGGATCGAGTTTCGTTGTCATGGTGGTATATGTGTGCGTTAATCCACGCAGTACTTGACGAACCGTGAGTTTCAGAGCCCAAGACTTGAGAACCCAGACAGAAGAGCAAGGGTGGGGAGGGACATATCGAGACACTTATACCCCATGTGGCATACCCCATGGGGAAAACCCGCACCAAGCCCCAGCTAGGTCCCTAGCCCTCGGCTGTCAATATGGACCCCGGATTATTGCCCAGGTGGTATGCTTGAGACTCCCGTTGTGATTCGCGCACGGGATGTGGTGCTCGGCTTAACCGACCAGGTCGGCTCCACATTGCGTCTTCGAGGACGAATCCAGATAGGATTACCCAATCTCGCACAGGACTCTACCAATGGCGAGTGCAGGCCACGGTGGTCCATGCTCCTTATCGCCATGACTTTTGCCTATTGAGGTGGTGGTTCGTCTATGTCTATCAACGGTGCTGATTGGCGTCCTGATAGTCAATACTTTGGGATGATAGGCTCGCTCGTAGCTTGGACCTTTCTGATGGCGGGGTCTCAAATAGCTTGTATGCAGCAGAGTCTCCTAACGGTGTCTGATCCAGGTCATTGTGACAGTTGGTGATCGGGGAGGAGGCGAGGATAGGAAGTACCTTGAACGCCAGAGGACGTGCGTCACACAAACACGTGGGCAGATCATCGCCAAGCCTGTGTGAACGAGATCTGGATATTGTCAAGCCTCAAGCTCATTCAGATGATTAGCTTTGCCTTCCTCGTATCAGAACCAAACTTGTCTGGATTTCTCGCGTTGGCCATGACGCGAAGTCATGCTCTCCCACTCTGTCTTCGGAGCGAGGTGTAGTGACACTTGAGTGGCAAGCATGACCAGCGGCAGGCGGAGTCTTCTTTCAGACGGCTCTAGCTCAACCATCTCACGTTCGAGCCTTCCTTCCACTGCAGCTGGAGTAAAAAGCACTGCGACATGCGTGGCAACGGCAATGCAAGCGAGGTGGAGAACATCCATGAATTCTGGGGTAAAGTGGAGAGAGCAAATACGAACTGTCAGAGTCATGCGGGGGTGGAATTCCCAAGCCCAAGACCAACAGAAAGGAGAATCCGGGGGAATGATCGATGCACCTCGGATATAAGCCCCGGATAACCCGACCTCCCCGGCAAAGCCGAGCAACCACCTTGCTGTACGCCCGTAGATGGAAACCACCAATTCGGTACTTGGAAGCTGTGTTGCGCCCATGCCTCGGACTTAAAACCTCTGCAGTAAATCTTGACCTTCATCTTCTTCTCCCTTCTTCTGCCACTTCCCATACTTCAACATCGAGTACCTGACAATGGGTATTATCAACAGTCTCATCAGCGGTACCCCCGACTCTTCAAAAATGGTAAGCAGGCCCGAAACCCCGAGTCGAAACGCTCGCATCGATTCTCATGATCCAACTCGCATGAACTGACAACGGGACATTGGCCCACCACAAGGCCCCCTCAGACTCGCAACTCAACATCATCATCGTCGGCGCCGGCCTCAGCGGCCTCGCCACGGCCATCTCGTGCGCCATGACCGGCCACACCGTCACCGTCCTCGAACAAGCGCAAGAACTCGCCGAGGTCGGCGCCGGGCTCCAGATCACCCCCAACGCCTCCCGGCTCTTCAAACACTGGCAGCTGCCCGCCAATATCTGGACGGAGGCCGCCGAGCCAACGTCGCTGACGGTGCACCGGTACACGGGGGAGACGCTGGCGCACGAGGCGCACTTCGACCGCAACATCCGCGCCAAGTACGGGGCGCCGTTCATCGACCTGCACCGCGTGGACCTGCAGCAGGCGCTGTACGCGCGGGCGCGGGCGCTGGGGGTGACCTTCCACCTGGACGAGCGGGTCGACGCGATCGACTTCGAGACGACGACCATCACCACCCTGAAGGGGCGGCGGGTGAGCGGCGACCTGATTGTCGCGGCGGACGGGCTGTGGTCGCGGTGCCGTGAGAACTTCTATGGAAGAAAGGACGAGCCGCTGCCCACGGGCGACCTGGCGTATCGCATCGTGCTGACGGCCGAGCAGCTCGCGGACGACCCCGAGCTGCGCGCCTGGGTCGAGAACCCCACCGTGCACTTCTGGGTCGGGCCGGGGGCCCACGCGGTGGCGTACTCGCTGCGCGGGGGCTCGATGTTCAATATCGTACTGCTGGTGCCGGATACGCTGCCGCCGGGGGTGTCGAGGCAGGCGGGGTCGGTGGAGGAGATGCGCGGGCTGTTCGTGGGTTGGGATCCGGTGTATGTTCTCTCCCGTCTGTGGAACTAAGTGGTAGCTCACTGACTGGAGGGAAACAGACTAACTAAGTTTCTGACTTACGTGAATGGCGTCGACAAATGGCGCCTCATGCATCGTACGACAATTCCTCTCTTGTCCCACCAAGGGTAAGCACTAACCTTTAATGCAGACGCAGAAATGGACTCCTGGATCAACGACAAATCAAACCTAGTCTTCATGTACGATATGCTCCAGCTCTTGTCTTTCTAACTTAAAATGCTGAAAGGTACTGACCTGCAACACCAGCGGTGACGCCTGCCACCCCATGCTCCCCTACCTCGCACAGGGCGCCAATTCCTCCCTCGAGGACGGCGCCGTCCTCGGCGGCCTCCTTGGCCATATGAAGCAGAAATCCGACCTCCCACAGATTCTGAGACTCTACGAGAAGCTTCGTAAATCCCGCGGGGAGGCTATTGTCCGGGAAACGTTCAAGCAGGTGTGTTTCCCCAACACGCATCACTTATTTCCATCATTAGATCAATCCCACCACTAACCAAGGGCTCAGAGAAACGACTTCCACATGCCCAACGGCCCCGAACAAGAGACGCGCGACCAAATCTTCCTGTCTCAATTAGGCAAGGAACTCAAAGGGGCGTTCCCGAGTCGATGGTTCGTTCCACCTGTTCTTGGGCCTACAAGGAGTATAACTAACCACAGGCAATACAAATGAATAGGACCTGTCCCGAAGTCCAACCGTGGTTGTACGGCTACGACGCCATCAAGGAGGTCGAGAACGTTGTGGCGGAGAATCCGGGGCTGTTCAATGGACAGGTCACGGCGAATTTGTAGAATGCTACTTTCTTTTGATTCTTTGTTGTCCGAATTCTTGAAGCGGGATCTTTGTACAGTCATTTGGCAATATAGTATACATTTATTTTCTTCTTCGCCGCTAATGAGGTCGATTCCGAGACCATTAGATAGTCTCTCCTCTCTGTATGCAGTGATCCAATTTTTGGGAGTTGAGTCGAGGGGGAATACGCAGTGTTGCAGGGGGGTCGCATTTCTTCATATTGGAGATATCGTCCCAGGGGTGGTGAAAAGTGACTATCTAGTAGACTCCAGTAAACTATCTTTAGAACAAGTACCTCAACGCTCGCAAGTCATATCCCAACTTAGTCTTCAAGCTTGCTTCACCCCTTGCATCCGGCATGACAAGCGACAGCATTTCTCTTCCTCCTCCGTAGTACACTCCACCCCCTCGTTACAACAAACTCAATTGGAAACGTCACTTTGGTGCGTGATGCAGAGGTTTTCGTTGTTCCGATAGTCCATCATATAGAGTAATCGGTCACAATGAGGTCCATCTTAACCAAGGGCAATTGCAGTCCCACAACCAGCGCAAAAACCCCAGCCTACCGAAGCATGAAAAGATAATCCCCACGGAGACACACTTCCGCCAGACGACACATTCCAGAGCCCAGATACCCACCCCCAGAACTAGATATAGTGTAGTAGCAAATGCATTCCAGTGCCTGAGCCTTCTACCTTTGCCAGATACAGTCCAACCATCTCTTCACCTTCCCAGAATACACTCCAATCACCCCTTTCCCATCCCCTTCCCCAGACCCTACCCTATACTCCTCCATTACCTTCCGCATCCAAAAAAGAGTATATAAACCCACCTCTCACCCCACAAGAACGACCCCCTCCATCCCATCTCCACCATCTAACTCAAATACTCATCAATCCCGAACCCAACACACCATCTTACCATACCCTCAACCAACCCAACCCCCCAAAACCATCACCATGAAATTCCTCTCCTCCATCCTCCTCCTCAGCGGTCTCGCAGCAGCAACAGCAGCGACAGCAGCAACAGCACCATCCAACGCCCACCCCACCACGCTCGTCCAGAAGCCCGCCACCGCGGCGGCCGGTGCTTCCGGCGCTGGCGGCGCTGCCGCCGGAGGGAGCACGTATAACCACGTCGCGGTAAGGGAACAGCCCCGCCCCGCCTGCTTATCTCTTCCCCAAGAACAACAGATTCCTGTTCTTCGGGCCGGTACTTGTGTATATACAATGGGACTTGCGATTCATTTTTACTGATGATGGTGAGCGATAGGACCCCAACGAGGGCCAGAAGCCCGCCACCGATGGCGGGGATCACGGTGCGACGGCGGTCGCGACCAGCGGCAAGGCTAATGCCAATGGCAATGGTAATGCCAGCGCCAATGGCAAGGGCAGCAGCAACGCGGGCAGCAGCAGCAACGCGAGCAGCGCCAAGGGCAACGGCAACAGCAACAACAACAAGGGCAACGGAAACGCTAACAGCAACTCGGGCAGCAACGCCCACAACGCTGCCGCGCCCTCGCATTAACAGAAGGATCGCCGGGCATTGGATGAGGATGTCCAGGATCTCGTGATGGGGCTGATGGTGGAGGTGGTCGATGAGGGGGTGACGGAGGTGATGCAGGAGGGGCTGGAATAGACCAGCAAGATGATGGAGGATGGTGGTGGTTACGAGTCATGGATTGATTGTTGTGTTGTTGAGGTTGCAGATCGATTCTAGGGGACTGAGCTCAGTTGATCTACTAATATTATCAAGACTAAGTGAGGGGACCTGAAGCTCTGTTCCGTGTGGAGTGTTTGCAAGGTGATTTGTTAATGATCATCGTACATGTAGACATTGCATTGCTCCGCTCCTCTAGAACATAGCGACCCGTGATATGGAAATGGACGAGGACCTCCCATATGGACATAATATAGGTGACAAACCCCCGGGCTCAGTTATCGCCCAGCCCGTTCGCACATTGTTAAGACGAAATCAATTATCCAGCATCGGCAGCCCGCCTAGATCGTCAAATAGCCTCGCTATGCCTTCAAAGGAACAATCCGGGAACCCGAAGCCGTAGGCCCATTCCTATACCCCATAGCTGTTAGCATGTATCCATGATAAAAAAGCCTCAGGGCGGTTCCAGGTACAAGGCTGAGAGACAAGGGAAAAGCTCACCGGAATGTCAAAACCAGTCCCACTGGGACTCGTATCCGCATACTCTCCGCCACTCCCGCCATTCCCACTCCCACCACCACCACCACCGCTGCCACCGCCATCATGACTACTCGTCGAAGATGCCAGACTCTGCTGATTGAGCTGGTGCTGATGAAGGTGCTGCTGGTGCAGATGTGACAGCGACGAAGTGGACGATGGCAATGACCGGAATTCCCGGAGATAGTGTTTGATGATCTCGACGGACTTGCGGGCGACGATGGACTCGTCCATCGCCTCAAGGATCTCGACGCCCATCTCCACGGACCGCTGGAGCGGGACGGTTTCCGGGCAAGGACCCAGTTTGGACATGGGGAGAAGGAGAGTGGAAGTCGCGAACATGACATACGTTGTGTTGTACCACCTATTACGCGGGGCATCAGCGTTAGGGCTCCGGCCTGGAAAACGGCCAAAGGAAGGGTGAAAAGAACATACCAACACCGGAAGAACTCATGGATGCGGTAAATATCGTAGATCACCTCAATGGTTTTCATGGCTGCATCGAGGCACTTGGCGATAGTCTGTTCAAGTTCCATGGGCGGGTGGCGGAGTTTGCGGGTGAAGTGGCTCAGGAAGGGGCGGAACAAAAGCATTTTGACATTGAAGTAGCCTTGTATGGTTTAAAACAATCAGCCACGTATACAACCCTACCGTCTCTCAAGGCACCCCCATGTTGTTACGGTAGACTTACGAATACCCAGGACTAGTCGTTGTCGACGCGCCCACTTAGGGTCTCTCAAGGCACCCCCGGTTGCCCGTTCCATCATGTCGGGCTTGAGACGGTCCGGTAAGCGCGCCATCCAGCGGTCGAGCTCAGTCTCAATCTGGAGACCTAAGTGTAGCTTCTCTTGTAATGTGATTCGTGAGTGGTATATCTGCACGGAAACTCGGCGAATGATCTGCGCGAAGTCGACCATCCAAGGAATGATGGCATATTCAGAGTCGTCTCTTTCCGGTAGAGCTCGATTGTGGTATTCGTCCATGCCTAAGGTGTCTGGACGACCGACTGAGAAGCTCATCTCACTGGATGCGATTAGTGACCTACCTGGCAGAATTGATGGTAAAACTTACATTTCCAAGGAAAAGAGGCCCCTAGAAACATTAGATCTAGCAACATATCATGAGGCTACCAGACTTACCACCAGGTCTTCGAAATCCATCCAGCGCGATGGTCGTCTGTGCTCCGCACCTCCCGATTGAAGCCAGCAGCCAGGCACGTACGCACGGCGAGCCCCAGATACATATAGGCCACTAATATAACACATGAGTAATTTCCTCGCAGCGGAAAGAAACAACCAACTCACTGTTCGGGTTCAGTTCATTCTGACAAATTTTCGCCTATCCAAGTCAGCTGCGCGCAAAGACCTAAACTCGTCAACAACTGCTCACCATAAGATACAGACACTGCACTGTGTCCAGCGTATTCGAGAAATGCAGGTAATTCAGATACATCTGGGCCTCGCCAAACAGTTTCCGGCTCCACTCGAACCTCGTCAACCCACCGAGCCTCTCCTCATCCCACACCCTCACCAAGGCCCCAAAGGAAAGAATGCTCAAATACAGAGCCACAAAGCTGGGTTCCGGCTGCACATTCCGGTTGAACCACAGATTATGCGCTCGCTGCAGGAAGTCCTCCTTATCGATGAGCGGGTGGATGAAATGGATATTCTCAAAGTAGCCATTGATGAACGCATGCGCCTGCTCGAAGTAATAGTTCTGCTCCTGCATCACCACCGGCTGTGCCGGGCCCGCCGTACACGAGGGTGAGAAGCTTGGGTTGTGCAGCGTCGATACGATCGAGTACCCAGCGGCAGGCTTTTCAGCGCGGGAATGCTGCTGATTCTGCTGCTGCTGCTGCTGCTGCCGCTGCTGCTCCTCGAGGCGTCGCTGTGGCTCCCGCGCCTTCTGCAGGTGTCCGAGCAGGGCCGCCGACGAGGTGCTACCGTGGAACTCGATGCCGTTGGTGTGGTGATTCAGTTCGCTGATTTCATCCCCGACCGAGTCTCCGGCCTCGTCGTGGTGATCGTAGAGGGCCGGCGCTTCTTCCCGCGGAGTGGACTCGTTGCGCGGCAGGGATACGGGAGTTGCATCGATGGCAGCGTGGGGCACCACCGGTTGTTGGGCCGTTCCGGGACTTGCGAAGGTCGTTGGAATCACTCTCTGAGGTAGCTGCGAGGTGATTTCCGACTCGGCCAAGCGTAGCTTGGTTGTGAGCTCGTCCACCTTTCGCTCTAGATCTGCGACATAGCTGATCCGCCCTTTAACAATGCAAACTACTCAGAACTGTGGCAACTGGGACTATTCTTACCTGGCAGACCGGCTACTCTCCCTCTGTCGGTAGTTCCCCTGATACACGCAAGTGAGGTCACTTTCTGCGACGAGGTTAGATACCTATATTTTCCCAGGTGAATTAAAACCACAACATACTCTTACAGTGAGAGCAAGGATACTGTTCATCGCACTTGTACTTCTTAGATCTACACCTCTCACAGGCCTGGGCTGCGCGGGGTCGCTTTGCCCGGGGCAGAGGGAGATTCTCATCCCCGGCAGCCGGTGGTGCGGGAGATGGGCGAGCCTCAGGTTGCATCATCCATCTAGATTGCGCACGGCATTGGGGGCTGACAAAGAGCGAGAAAACCAACGTAGAAGAGGTGGAAGTCGTGGTGATCAAAAGATAGTATCCGTTAAGAATCAAGGGTAAGCAGGGGAGATATGCAAAGGCAAGTAAGTGTGCGCAGAGTTGGCAGTGAATGAAGTGTGACACACGGATTATTCGATTAGTTAGTGGCGGATTGTTGGTTGAGGTGGAATCTGACCAAAAACTCAGAAATGCGCCGGCTTTTCCGGCCATCACGTGGCCCCTTCGCCCCCGCGGGGTCCCCGCATCGCTCGGTTTTAATCTACCGACACTGTGCCGCTTAATTTAGGCCAAAAGAAAGAGTTATTGTAAGGAATTCATATATCTTAGTGATGGTTCAGATGATTTATGTACAGCAAATGATCTAATCCGAAAAACGCCAAGTCCAATGCAGCATGCGGAGGGGTGAGTGCGTACGCGTCTCATCCGCCCCACTACAGAACACACAGGCGTTCGTTCTCACAGTGCAATTTCCATGTTCAGGTCAGCCACCACCGACTTGACGTCCGCCGCGTCCCATTCGCGCACCTCGTCTGGTAGCACCGCGCCTTCATATCGTTGGCCGACCCGGTGGATCAATGTCTCGATACCGTCGCCATCCGTGAACGACCAGACACGCACGAAGCGACTGGCAAACTTCAACGCGAATGCCTGTCCAGCAGGAATCACGGCCGTCTCCCCTTCGCGGAACTCGGTGTCGGACTGCCCCTCGAGGCTGACGATCAGCGTGCCCTCCTGCACGCACAGACAGTGATCCACCGATTTGAAGGTCATGTACTTGGACAAAATGGTATCACCGTAGACTTTCGAGGATTCGATACTGGAGATAGCACAGACCCCGCTGCTCTGAGCAGTGGTGACGAACGGTCGAGACATCACCCCGCCAAACATCCATTTCGGCCCCGTGTTGGCCCGAAGGAAGTAGCCCTGGGGGCTTTCGGGCAGTACCTCCTCATCCTTCGTCCATTCTCCGAGCTCCGGAGGCTGGTAGTGGGGCTGGAACACCACGTCGAATTGTTCCTTCGCAGCCATCACCTTCGGGATCAGGATGGACTTGAGATCGCGGTCGTCGTGCTCCGGCACCAGCACTCCGTCGTAGCGCTCGGAAACATATCGGAAGAAGTCGACCCAGTCGCCGGGTGTGACCACTCCGTAGGTCTCGGTGTGTGGGCCCATCATCTCTGGGTTATGGATCACGGTCTAGAACATATGAGTCAGTTGCGGGTCGTAGATAGGAGAATGTTTTGAGAAGCCGTACAGGAGGCACATAAGCGAAGTCTCCGGGCCCCATGATGCGGCACTTGTCGCCATTCCATAGCTTCAGGAACCCCTTGGTTACCAAGAAGACATCATGTGCATGGTTATGGTAGTGGAATCCAGGTGCATCCGAGAGAACAGCGCCACTCTGGAAGACCGACATCAAGCCATTGGTTTGCAGCGACGAGGCCAGGATGCGAAAGGAGCCCTTGCTGCCGGGAATGGTGATGCGCTCGCCTTCCAGCTGGGGAATCGCATAAGGAACTCTTCCCTTGGGGGGCTCATTGGTCCAGGATAGGGACATGATGAATTCGCATGCGCGTGGATGGAACAGGGGTGGGAGAGGGTTGGCCCGTGGAAAGGCTCAATGAAAGAAAGGGCGTGGCGAGAGAGGTGTAAAAAAAGTTTTGTTGAGGGGTGACTGAAAGTTTCGCCGTGGGTGCCTCAGATATAAGGACGGCGGAGGGCGCGTCATCGGGAAGACTGTGGGGCATTTGGGGCAAGTTTTCTCCATTCCCCCATACTACGAACTTTAAGCTACCCCTCGGATTTGCCGTGCACCTTGGGTTGACCGGCTTTTCCGGTCGCTCTCCTCCTTCCCCGCAGTCAGATGACCTGAGAGAGTGCTCCTCCGGGGTATGATTGTCCCGCAATTCTTACGAGTTGGTAGAGAGAGTGCCGAGGTTGGTGTTGCGGGCAAGCCGGATGCAATGTATCGCAATTTGCTCTGCTCACTTCATTCAAGCCACGCCAACACAAGCTGTTCCGCATGAACAATCAATATTCGTACTTCGCATTGAGTTCTCAATCGTGCAATATCATTGGATTATTCATCTGCATGTAAACAGTGAACACGAGACAGCCCAAGCGAAGAATGCGAAAAGCGTGGAGCAGAGCCCACATAATGAAGGGAATATAGGTGAAAAACGCCCGATGAAGTCACAGGCTTTCCGCCGGGTATACATCACTGAGTTGTGACTCCATTTCGCCAAATGGAAAAAGCTAATGGAAATAAGCCCCCCGAAAATGGCGAAAGAACCAGGTTCAACATGAAGATCTCAGCGCACAGAAAGAAGCGAAGACAAAAAGGGCAGCCAGCACCCCAAAATTTCAAGATTCATTTTCTTTCGGTAGTTTGATCATAGACCACGGGGCGTATTTGCTTTGGTTTCGATCCTCCCTCCTCCTGGTCCGTCATCTCCATCTCCGAAGCGCCTCCAGGATCTGATCTGCCTAGCATCGTTTTGCGATGATAGGGAGGTAGAGGAGCTTCGGCTCAGGGACGCTGGGCTGGCAGGAGTAGATGACCCCGGGGTGGACATCGACACTGCAGTGGCGCCGGTAGCGCTTCGAGCTGCGGACACAGCAGCTGCTGGGTTACAATGAGTGCAGACGTATAGAACGAACCCATGGCCACTGCAGCTGTTGCAGATTGAACCTCTGTCGGTTGCGTTAGTGGTGATGACCAACAAGAAAAGCTTGTTTCGCTGGCGAAAAAAACCGACCGTGGTGCATTCCCTGCGCAGCTACGGCAGGTCTTCACTGTCTGCCCACCGATGCACGAGTTGTGATCGGGGTCAAGGGGATGGATTGAGCCTGCCGAGTGAGACATCGTTTCTCTGACCGACAGGAATAAGATACAACGAGCTCGAAAGCAGTGGATGAGCAGTTGAAAAGTCAATGAGGATTGCCCCCGGCTTAGAACACGTGCGAAGGTGTTGTGGTCAACTGAGACACTCGGTACAATGTTGTTTCAGATCTCGAAGGCGGATTTTCTCACTGAGGGGAAGCTTGATTTATCTGTCTTCCGTTAGGCATGGAACAATTCGAAACCAACTGGGGAAGAGATGCGAGAGAAAAAGCAAAAATACCAGTCTGCAGTCAAGCCAGGCTGCTCCCTGCCCGGTGCGAATGGCAACCTCTCTGTAGATAGAAATCGTAAGACCTATTTGACCATAGATTGTGCGACCAGCTTGCGAGTCAAGGGATCTCGTATCGGCAGCACCGAATCAACTTCCAGTAATCGCCTCCGAAGTAGATTGCCAGCGTGAGCCTTCGGTCACATCTAGCGATATTTTTTCGGAGAGCCGCTCCAATGACATGAACGGTCAGTGCGGCCTGGTTCAAGGATCACAAAGCGTCCGCATACGCAGTCCCCAGCGACTAGCCTGGGGGCCAGTCGATGCCTATCAGACACGCGGGTATGCTTTTCTTCCGGTGATTCATGAAGACGACGGCCGAATGAGAGCCTTGTAGATGCCTTGGACCCGTGGGACCGGACCCAGTACATGATCGTTGCGGCGGCCATTGATAAACGGCCCAGCTGCCTACATGTGAGGCTTGCTCGTGCGTATCAGAGAATGCTGATCGCTTCGTCTATCTTGGTACGGTATGGATGGGGAGGGGGGAGACGGATCGAACCGACAAAGACAAGCAACTGAAATTAGGAGAAGTGATAAAGCGTGCATAGTGCGGTTAAGTCAGAAAGAGGAAAAAGAAAACATGGGGTGGTGAAGGTGGTGGATTTGGTGGGTGTGATAGAGACCAAATAGGACAAATAGCCGGGAACAAGACAAGAAGCATGGCAGCCACGGAGAGTTGTGCTACCTCACTGGCTCAGAATAATGAGTAATATTGGGAAGCATAACTACCCGATTGTCTGCTTTTGATTTGAGATAAACAGATAAAAAGATAAAAAAAGGTAAAGGCGGGCTCACAGTGAACTTGGAGACGGATAGGTGCAGCCCGTCTGACTGGGGCGCCATCTCATCAGTAACAGCCATCGGAGTTCAAGATGACACAAGAAAGCGATTCTAGATGGATTCTAGCCGAGTAGGAGTGACACCAGATTACTAACCTCTGAGAACCCCGAGTGAACTCAAGGTGGCTTTTCTCCCCTCTTGGAACGGGTCCGAGGGTGTCGTATGCATGGAGCTTGCATATTCGCTAAAAGGCAAACCAATCATTGCAGACCACTTCAATCGGCCCCGGGGTAGACTGCACTCTCAAGGTCAAATCCCGTTACATGTGAGAGCTACACATTCTTCTCTCCAATGTGAAAGCTTGCTGCTTTGCTGCTTGCTGCCTTAGATAATTAGTGGATATCCACACAGGTGACCAAACAACAAATGCAGCGTTAACGGGGCGGCCATCACTCCTGCACCCCGATAGCAATCTCCGTTCACGAGAGGAAAGAATCACGATGGAGCTACACATCCTCGGAAATCATGGCACAGTCCTCTTCATCGAACAGAATACCACAGCAACCCCACAGTAGAGTTTGAGCCGCAGAGAGTTTGGCCAAGGTAATAGTTCTCTAATACAGCCGGGATACTCGACCCGTGGCCATAGCGGGGGAGAGAAACGGAACGGCGTAGGGTAATGTGGTCATCAGATGATCTGATAGTACTGTACCTAGTAGGTTGCGACACGGTTGTATCTCATGTCGGGAGGTTAATTCCCTGGGCCTGCAAGTATCCGATCGCATAATGAGGCCTGGAGAATCAATCGCGAAATAACCGCTGCAATCGCTGCTCTACGCATTAGTCAGTGCCTCAGGCACTTTTTCTTTTTACCTCCGGGCGAACCAATCCTCTTTTCCCCCAAATTGTCGACCAATGACGTGTTAATTCAGCCTGGCTGGGGAGATTGCGTATCTGCGGATTGGTCACATGTTCTGTAGCATCCTTGATCATGATATGAAACAGGACCATGTTGAGAAAAGAACGGTATGACGCAGCAAGTGACGAGCTTGGCAAATCCATGTTGTCTTAGGTCAATCTGTTCTTCTGAAGAAGGGAACCGAGGAGGACGCTGGAACAGCAAGTGACTTGTAAAAAGCATGGGCCAAGGATGCGAAAAGGGAGCGCCAAAGCGCCGTAGAAATAGTCACATCGGGACGATAAATTGACAGCGTTTGTCATCGATCCAGCACCGCCCATGTGGGGACCATAAGCTCCATGCTACGTAGATTTTTCATTCGAAGCGGTCCACAGGAAAAAAAGAATGTGGCTTGCATAGTAGACAGCAATCAGGGATGGTAATAGGCTTGTCTAGTAGGGAAGAAATGGTTAGCGGCATGCAAGTACCCGACAGGAATCACGCGCTGGCCTTGGATCTGACTTGAACCAGGGGATCATTCATCATAGCCATTGTTATCTAGGCTGGCTCAAGGCAAGACAGTCAGTTGTAATATTTGGATGTCGCTTCATCGAAGAGGAAGCGAAAGTAGGCCAGGGAAGTGAAGCAGAATCCAGCTAGCCTCGAAAGTGCTGCGGGAGTTGATGATGTTGCTGGGCCGAGAGTTGCACAAAGCGAGATTCAGCCGCTCCAGTCGGAGGAAGAAACAAATGCGCAATCAGCTGACTTTGGCCCAAGTGTTCCGACAAGCCGGACGCTAGACAACTACCCATGTCTGCAATTCCGTGCGAACTTGGAAGGTGATATCGAGGTCAAATAAGGGCAGCAGTGCGAGAACAAGGCAACTTGATAATCTCTTGTCCCTCAGGCTAGGAGTAAGGCATGTTTCAGCCCCAATCTACATGTCTATTCAATCCATTCGGGACCAAGGGCGGCCGCGGAGCCGTCGTTCTATATGTGTGCAAGGAATATACGTTGCTTCTTGATTATTAAGGGTATTTAGGGGCCTCATGGCGTACCGCCAGGCTCTCGGCTTCGAAGAAGCAGCTCGACAGCTAGCCGTACTCGGTGGGCTCCCCAGGTTAGTAGAGCTTGAATTGAATTGAATTGAATTGAAGGGATTTAGTTGGCTTGACCTCCAGAGGGTCACACGGAATAGCCATACATCATGACAAAAGAAGACTGGCTTGGATTATCTGCCGAAGCACTAGTTACATTCAGCTCAGGGTAAATAGGTAGTTATGACTGTAACCTGGCATTAATCAGTTAAAAAGCAAAGCAAAGAACAACAAATGAGTATGGCCCTGAGCAACAAGAAGTTCAGCCGAAAATAAGCTAGGATGACCGGATAATCCAGTCTCGATTCGAGAATGCCGACAACGCCACACACTATAATTCGTAAGCGTTTAAGGAAATCATCAATCCGTTTCATGTTACCAAAATAAAAGCACCAAGCCCTCCGCAGCACCTCAGGGACTACTCAGTGAGGTCCGTGACGATTGTCATTGGTGTCTTGATCAATAACTTCACATCTGCCGGTTTTATCTCATCCTTTGAGTGTTGATTGCTAATGAACCTCAGATCATTCCTGGATAAGAAGCGTTGAAAGGGAGACAGAAGGCGGTAGATCGATGGCAGTGGCAAGAAGCGACAATCGTAACGCAC